TTTTTTTTTTTAGGGGTTTAATTAATTAATTATTATTTTTTTAAACAGGGAGAATTAGTAAGGGAAAGGGAATAGAGCTTGGGATTTAAACTTAAATCATTATGTCCACCACACACATTCAAGGGGTGACCAGAGATCACCAAGAGTTGGACGAGGTTTAATTTATAATTAGTTTCGAAAATAAGACTTGCAAAGATTGATATGTCAGGGGTCTAATTTATTCGTTGAGGTTTCTTTTCAAAATTTAGATGTGTGTCCATCAAATATATATAAAACAAATAACAAAAGTATAACTTGTAACTTAGATTTATATTTTCAATTGAGTACATATTGTCATTAAATTCAAATAAATCTCGATTTCTTTTTGGCATATTTTCGCATTAATCCCCCACATTAAATGAAGCTTAAAAATGTACCCATATATTTTTTTTTAACTTGAAACCAGTGAGGGATTAATTTTTGGAGTAGAAACCATTTTGAAGATGTTTGAATTCGCCAAATATTCATTGAGTTTATAACTAATTTTTTAATGAGACAAAAATTTAGGTAAAAATTTATATAATGACATAATTCAGATTTTTTTAATGATGTTAATGGAAAGAAAAATCAATAATTTACTTTTAAAAGAGTATTTTATGACAATAAAATTAATCAAAAATCTAATATTTTTTAAAAATAATTGAATTTTGTTTTTGACTCGACAAAAGATTTTAAATATATTTTTTTTTTTATTGTCTAATGATTTTATTTGATATTAAACCATCTTAAATGACCTCCCACTTTTTCATTTTCAATCCATCAATCACACGTATACTTAAGAAAGCAAGATATCTGAAAATATAACATAACATAGATGATTAATATTATTTTTACACAATGAGAAGATATATAGACCAGAGTCTCATAATTAAAAGCAAAAAATCTGATAATCCAACCAAATAGAACAGGGAAATTAGAAGTTCCAACATACATAACCAAAGAACAAGCTAAAGGATTTCAACTTGAAGGGGAACTGCTCGCTTATGCTCCAAAAAAATCGATCAACTTGATCTCCACTACAGCAAAGGCTTCATTTTTCTGTCAAAAGATATTCCCGTAGCATTTGTCAAAGACCAAATTTCAACAAGGAGGGGAAACTGCAACCATACAAAAACTGTAACCGGAATGCTAGCCATCATAATTAGGGGAATAATTAACCACAATCGATCTTGCAGTATATTCCAAAGAGCAGCAGAAAAGCTAACCGCCATTGCTGCAATAGAAATAAGAATAGTGGAGAGGAACATGATCAACTTCTTGGGTAAGGACTCGAGAAAATCTACCGGGTCGAAGCGCGATGCTAGGATTCCCATAAACATTAAGACTGAAACTGATGCAGTAAAGAAGGAAATCGCATCAAACATTATAAATATCATAAATGATCTTTTCTGTAAAAAATTGGGAAACCCATTTGGAGCATTGCCGCCTGGAAAAGTAATGGCTGCAGCAAACGTGATCGTAATAATGAGAGTACCAACAACAATAAAAGAATTTGCCATGTCCCTCATCCATTTTTCCCCCTCGTTCACTAACTCTTTATGGCTCTTTGAAAATACTTCATAAGGGGTTTCACCATTGCTATTTTTAGATTTTTTGCACCATTCTGGAACAATTCTTTCCACCTCCTGCATTCGGTTAACAAAAGTACACATTAATTTTTAGAACAACAAATTAGGTTTTATTTTTGAAACAAATAAATAAGTTACACTTATTTTATATATAAACTTTTAAGAAAATCAAAACACACTTTATGTATAAAAATAAATTAAAATAATTGATAATAATAATAATTTTAAAATGCTATAATTAAGTGAGCGAGTAAGATGAAAACCTTAAACCATTGTACTTCTCTTTGCATATGCAATGCAGGGCTGGAGATTCGGGCAAGTTGGGAGGGAGGAGCTATCTCCCCTGCCACATGTAACATATTATTCCTGTAATTATCTGTCTGATTAAGAATATGGGCTTTCCATCCCTCATTAATCCCATATAGGAGGCTGAAAATGTTTTCTTGACGATATTGGATTGCTATCATGAAAACGTGTCTGCCACCATCATTATGGAAAACGAGTGGTTGGGTTACTTTCAATAGCTCAACGACGAATTTAACAATGCCCTGCTTGGTAGCTTCAAACATCGCGTCAACCACTCCGTAATCCCAAAGAGATTGAACTTTTAATGTTGAAATATGGTTACACATACATGCAAGAATCTCAATCATATAGAGATGTGTCAACTTCAAATCATAAATTTGTTTGATTCCTAAGTAAATCAAGAACCAATTAACATATATACTATGAAAGGCATAAAAATAGAATAATAAAAATATAAATGCTAAAATAAGTAAAAAATAAGTTTCATAGTCGAGGGTAGTTTACCAAAGAAATTTTGGAGCATCAAACTCAATCTAACGTGTCGACCAAATACTCCAAGAATAAATCCCTGTTAGTGCGTGTACAAAGGAAAATAATGCAAAAATTTATTTTAGTACTACATTAACATAATTGATATTATTTTATATAAATTTACATAATTTTAAATATTTAACTCTTAAATAAAATATCTAATAAAACACTTTTTATCTAGTATA